GGCAGAGAGGGCCGAGGCGGAAAGGAGGATGGAGGAGGATGAGGAGCACGTTCGGGAGAGAGATTGGGGAGATGTTAGTAAGGAGTGCCGAGGAGGCGGCTGTGATGCAGCGGAACGCTTTGCATAGTCTCGACGTATACGCACTTTCTCTGATGACGATTGAGTGGTATGAGGTAAAAGGACAAGATGAATACCTACCTACCATTGTCGGGATCCATGCGCGCAGATGCTTAATGGCCGGAGTCTGTCGGACGAGATGGGAGTTGGCCAGCATTAGTAGGCGCTTGTGGTTTCCGGAAAGGGTAGGCCAGTTTCGGGCGCCGTGGTCATGGATGACCATTGTTTGCACAATTTGCTGATGTTGTCTCGCCACCACATCTGTCTCATTGTCGCAGACGATTCAGTCATCCTCCTTGCTGCAATTGACTTGAGCCACCGCAATGGATAACACTGCAGCATATTATGCATATCCACCAGTACACACTAGATAAATTTGTTGATCCTTATAGTTATAGTGAAACGCAAATTATTTGGCCCAAAAGTTATAGTGGCCCCTCCAAATATTTGAGACAGTTGGAGGGATGCCCCTCCCAGATATTCAAGGCAAACCTCAAATATTTAGATGTAGGTAGGAGTGAGGGGAGGTCCCCCTCCACCAAATATTTGCCAAATATCTGAGTATTTCCCCCCCTGTGTCCTGAGGCACACAACACGGCACACGTCCACACATCCAAATATTCAGTTGGAAGATATTTGGCCGCTAACAAATATCTGAGACACTGCTTCTACCGGCGACAAATATCTATGCTCCTCCAGAAATTTGCACAGCTATCTCATACTATTTGTGAAGCTCGAGTGATACAAGAGGTAATGTATGCTATTTCTTGTGTCGTACTCGACATTGTAGGGTTTCAGGGACGTCCCGCATCTGCTCCGAAACAGGACGCGCCCTCGCCCACTTCACAGGTGTCTTGCCCAAGCTCCCGCCCTTGTCAACCTTGTGGGCGGAGAGTGCTCATACCCCATCGCCCACTTCGTGCACACCATTGGTTGGTCCGCGAGCAAAGCCGGGGGCGACACTAAGGCCGTCGACCTCCTCTGCACGCCCACCTGCATCTCGGGGCGCCAGCAGGACTCCAATGATCACCTACTGTCACGCTTCGATCAGTACCACGACACTCAAATCTGAGTCACCACGGGCCGGAGACGCAATTTCGCAAAGTTGCTGATCACACATGGAAGCTGTTCGTCTGAGCCAGTAACGTGCGTACGTGTTACTACCTTGGTGAAACAGGCGCAGGCTCCGCCGGCGACCGCACCCCGCTCGGGATCCACGGCCGATGTGCATTCGGGTCCACAGCCGACTGTTCTCGACCTCGCAAGGCCTAACGAGATTGCACCAAAATCCACTGTCGGTGACGAGGGCACCAGGAAAATGATGGTAGACGCAGCTGAGGACTGTGCTGGGGCCCGCGTGTCCCAGCCCAAGCGACTTGGGCTCCATCGGGGCGTACCAGGCACTCCGGTCCTGTTGACAAGTGACGGGCTGATGCCATTTCCTAGACCATGGATAGAATGCGCACCTGATTTGGAGGATCCAGACAGTGTCTGCTCCTTGCCGTACTCACACTTCCACGCCTGGGATCCGCCAATGAGCAGCATGGACACGTTCTTCAAGATCTTGCGGAAGGCGGTCTCATGGATCGCCTTGAAGAGGACGGAGACCGGGGAGTGCACGTCGCCCATGTTCTTGAACGCATTGTCGTAGATCGTGACCAAGTCGAACTTGTCTCGGTTTGCGGACAGGACAGATCCGTCACGCACACTGATGCTGAGCGCATCTTCGATCGTCGATCTGTTCATGCTGCAACACACGCGCATGAGAAGCGAGTTGTCAGTCAGATGCACAGAAATGTGGTAGATGGACTCACCTGTCACGTTGAAAGATGTAAGTGGAGGGCTCTGTGCAGACCTCCCATGCTGCTACAGAAGCCTCCCGCCCCTCTATACCCGTCCCCCTATTGATTGCGTCCATGAGGATGATGCTGAGCTCCAGGGCATCGAGCATTGCCAGGTTAGCATCTGCGTCTCCAAATGCTCATGATGTGTGTCGCGTCACCGAGGACCGTGAAGCCTGGGACGTGCTTCCACCTGTGGCCGAGTGGCATGTGGTACGAGGGATGCATGCAGATCGCGCTGTCGTCGCAGTGCTCGAGGGAGCTAGCGAAGGGCAGGAGTGAGGCAGTAAGGAGACGAGGACGTGGGATCAGACACGGGGACGAGACGCAGACGGGGCAACCGCATGCGCTGAGGGCAGCTAAAAGTAGGCAGTGGAAGAGGGTCCAAGTCCCTCGAGGTTGTGTCGGAGTGCGTCATAGAGAGGCGGTAACATGACGGAAGGCAAGCTGAGTAGCAGCTCGCCCTCGGGAAATTAATGGTAACCTACCTTAGGCTCCTTGACCTCAGTCTCTTGCCCTCTTCCTCCTTGCAACATGACCCCTCGCCACTCTTGCCACGCTACAGTTGAGTTTGAGGCCAGAGTCAGGCAGCGAAGACGCGTGCGAAGGTGGTGACCGGATGGGCGTGGGAGCTCAACAGTGAGACAGCGAAGCAGTGAAAGACAGCATGAGGGTGAAGAACGAGAGAGGCTAGCGAGGGAAGACAGGCGTCGAGCGTGCAAGAAGACGAGCAGGGGAGGGAAAGCAAGGGAGAGAGGCTGGGTGTGGAGATGGGACGAGACATCGACGTGGCAACCGCAAGAGGCGACGAGCTTGTAGGTCCATATTTCCATATTTGGGCACTGTCGATGATCGTGACGGCTTCCAAACATGGACCTGCGAGCTCGCCGTCTCTAGATCTTGTGCCATCAAGTTCATGACATATGACCAAGTCGAGGCAAAATGTCAGTTTTCTTCCTCACCTGGTGACACATAATGGTTCGAAGCTCTCCAGTTGCTTTTGCCTACGCGAGAGAGCCAGACCAACCTGCGCCGCTTCACTAGGGTGTACTTGCCAGAGCCCGGGCCGTGAAACAGAGGCTCGAAGTGGAGGTGAGATGGCCCGAGATCGCACTCCACTTCTCCCTGAGCGAGTGCGCAATTGAGAGATCCTTGCACCGGCCGCAATGCTCGAATAGTCCTTTGCTCGAGATCCAGTCGATTGTATCTCGAGCGATGTGGAAATAGCCTGAGTAATTTCTCCCTGGGCTCTTCCTAATATACTGTACTGCCAGGGCCATCTCAGGTATGCTACGCTCACGTTCTGTCTCTCTACCAGCTTGCATTTTGATCAACAACTGTATGTCGACATCACGTTTGTGTTCATCACCTG